TTTGTTTTTTGCCTACATTGCTTCCTCTGAGACTTCATTCTTTTCTTTAAAAAAAACTTCCCTTATTTACATAGATGATTTCACTTCCACTAAGTTCCTCTGGCTGCCTACTTAGAACCTCTTAAGTGGCACCACTGTCAACATTCCTAAAGTCTACTGTTTCTTCTGCAACTCCATTTATATTAGATTCAAATTTCCCTTCCAAAATTATTTCTTTTAGCTTCTTTGTTACTCTTTTGTCTTTGTTGTGCAATTCCCTTACAATGATCAGTTTTTGTAAAATGCTATGTGGATTTACCACTAGAAGACAAGGAAGAAACATAGCTACATGCTTTGCTGTCTGTGTGTGAACTAAATAATAAATGCAAAGCAACCAACTGCTGACAGATTTTCATGTAAGTGCGTGACTGATTACTGGTGACGATGCACGCCTATTATTTACATAGTGATTTGTTCACTGAAGAGCTAATAGCAAAGTTTGTACTTCATGCAATTACTCACAGTGAATACAACATGGTAACTGAAATCTGAACCATGTTGTGGGGGACTGGGGTTATCTGGCTGAAATCTGTGCATATTAAAGCCCTGTGAAAGTAAGGATTGCCTCTGTGTGAGCACCATTATATATAATAATTATAAAAATGATGCTAACTTAAAATACATGTACATTTTGGATACATACGTATTTTTTATTATATATACTTTAAAATTTTTACATTTTAAATTAGCATCATTCTACAATGAATATATATTGATATTTTATTTAGCCTTATGTTATATATATTTTCCCACACTGTTATACGTGCTTGGGAAATATGATATTTAATAGCACAACGGACTTCTACCCTAAGAATGGAAATTAATTTCCAACTGAGAACATATAGGTTATTACCAAAGTGTTCGATACTAGACATAATGTTGTGAGAATATATGCTTACACAGATCATTCAGTACTTCTATGATTATTTCCTATGCATAAATTTTCTAGATGTGGAATTTTCTACATTAAAGGATATAAATAATTTGAAGGCTTTTGATACAGACCTAGGTATATTTTTATTTACCTCTTCTTGTCTCCAAAGTCAGCTTCCAACTTTGAGGGGTGTATTGCATTTTAAAAATTAATTTTCCATTATTCATAGCATGCTTAAATGTGTCCCATAAAATTAACATTGGACATTTGCACTTTTGTTGTTGTAAGTTGTCCACTCAAGTCCTTTGCCCACTTTTCTCTTGGGATACCTGTCTATTTCTAGGCGATTTATATGACCTCTTTCTATTTAGCACCTCTTTACAGACACTGCCTCAAAAATGAACGAGTGTGGAACTCCAAAAACCCCAGGCTGTTATTGCCCTCCTGTCCATTTGTTACATAAGTGAGATGTATAAATATAAAATCACACCACAATTCTGATGTGTTTTTAGCTGGTTCTAATAACTTTTAGAGCTGGTTATAAGAGTCCAATTACTAACATTCACTTTCCTCAGTGATGCACATAAAAGACTCAACTACTAATTATTAACCTTCTTTTCTTTTCTTAAGGCAAGATAAGTGTACTGGGAACAGAGAAGAAAGCCCACACCAAAAATCTTTAACTAGACTTTGATTTTGGCATGACCCATGTTTCACAGTTCCATATTCAGTTCTTTGTCCCTCAAACTCCCACTTTTTCATTCTCTTCTATGATCTGTCCCGCTGCCCTGGTCTTGTTTTGTGAAACAAGTGACTTGCTTTCACGTTAAAGCATTATTATTTAAAAGAAGGCTTGTAAAGAGGGCAATAAGAGTATGGGAATTTGGGGGCGCCTGGGTGGCTCAGTCGTTAAGCATGTGCCTTCAGCTCAGGTCATAATCCCAGGGTCCTGGGATCGAGTCCCATGTCGGGCTCCCTTCTCAGGGGGAGGCCTGCTTCTCCCTCTCCCACTCCCACTGCTTGTGTTCCTGCTCTCACTATCTCTGTCTCTGTCAAATAAATAAATAAAATCTTTGGGAAAAAAAAAAGAGTATGGGAATTTGGGTTATCAATGGGTGAGAATGATTTTCTAGAGGGGTTGCTTTCTGACACCAGTCACACTTTACCACAAAAGGGAATGCTTGCCTATTCAACTTAGCACTAGCAGCTCTGAACAACCACCAAATGCTATTAAAAAACCTATCATGGGGCGCCTGGGTGGCTCAGTTGGTTAAGTGACCGACTCAGGTCATGATCTCAGGGTTCTGGGATCGAGCCCCGAGTTGGGCTCCACGCTCAGTGGGGAGTCTGCTTGAGGATTCTTTCTCCCTCTCCCTCTGACCCTCCCCTGCTCTCTCTCTAAAATAAATAAATAAATCTTAAAAAAAAAAACAAAACTGTATCATTATATTGCAACCAACTGCTCACATTCTGATGTTCGGTGCAGACTGCCATCCCAACCTGACCGCAGAAGGTCATCTGCTCAATGACCAAGGAAGGCATGGTTAATGTGAAACATATAAACCAACCTACATACTACATCTCAGGCAAAATGAAGAAAAATTTTTAAAAACAATGATCTCTTGTTAAGTTTGAAAATGCCTATTTTAATTGAAGGAGAAGGAGGCTGTAGCATAATTTCTTATAGCAACTTTATCTAGTTATAAAACTCATGTAGGATGTACACTTCAAGATAAAGGTATAAGAATTAATGGCAGAAAACACACCTGCAGTTTTGGGAGTCTTTCCCACAGTACCCAGTTCAAATACTGAACGTCAGAAACCTGGGGGGTCTCCTGTTAGAAAAGGTAATGATGCCGTGGCTTCTATTTTGATGGCTCAGAGGCTTTTATGCTCACCACTGCTGTGGGGATTCTAGGGCTGGATTTTTATATTTTGCAGTTACTATAAGTACAGCAATTTTCCAAAAACAGAAGTCCTTGGGCAATGCTACCTGCCCTTTTGTATCCTTTCCTGTCAATCTAAGGCAGAGTATGGGTTATTTCAGGAATATAGGCTGCCCAGTGAAGGTCAGGACAACTCCTGCCAAAAAGAGGTCAACCTCTAGAGAGGAATCCAGATGATGCGATTTTAAAGCAAGCAAGCTAGTGAGCCATATCATTACCACCCCGTAGGAGGGGCTGGCTTAGCCAGGGCAGGACAGCAATGGTACAGACGAACTCTCTGGATAAATTTGTTCTTAAATCTATGTCCTACCAGACGTGGTCTGTTCTTGGTTAGAATAAGGAAAGGCAGAAAATATACTGCATTTGTTAGCAATTAGCTTGCTTTCCTACACAAATATTCATCAAATCCCTCCTCTGCACCAGACCCAAAAGTAAAGCTGAAGAAGGGATATCTAAGCCAAGAGCTGAAAGCTGAGGAACAGTCAAGTAGAAGGAGGAGGAGCATGTTCTAGACAGGGAAATCAAAGTACATTTAAAGAACTGAAAAAAGCTGGGGTACAAAACACAGAGTAGGGCAAAGAGAGTCAAGAGACAAGGCTAGAAACTAAGTGTCAGATCATACATGGTTCTGTAAATCTGTTAAGTTAGAGATTATCCATGAATAATGGGGGATCATTGAAAGGTTTGAAGTCAATGAGTGACAAGATGAGTCTTGCATTTTAGAGAAAGCATGATGCTTCCACTGTGCAGAAGAGAGTGGGCAGGGTAAGAGCAGACCTTGGGAGAGGCCACCGGGACGCTGCAAGCACAAGATGGTGGTGGTCTTCATGACACCGTCCATGGGAATGAAGAGAAAGGACAGTCTGTGATGAGTTTTGGTGGCTTGACAGAATAGGGCAGGACGGCACGGGAGAAGAGGGCAGGATAATGCCTGCATTCTTGGCTGGGCAACTGCAGGGAAATGAATTTCATTCTCTGACACAGGACGTAAGAAGAGAAACAGTTTTAAGGAGGTGCTTATGGGTTTGTTTTAACCCTGTAGTATCTGAGGTGTTTATGGTGCATCCAGTGGAAATGCCCAGCAGACAGACGGGCAGTGGTTAACTGGAAAGAGGGATATCCCAACTAAATGGGGCAGTAACTCCTTAGAGCTGCTGCTTAGTAGAGAGCTATCAAGATGCCCAACCTCTTGGGTTTGACCTGCAACTGGACTACTCAGTACTTCTGGCCTCCATCACCATAAACCATAATCACCATAAACTATCATTTAGATTTCAGGCCACTGACTAGGAAGAGAAAGAACAGACAAGTCCAGGTCCATTTCTGTTTAAAGAGAAAAATCTACTTGGTTATTTCTTTTTTTTTTTTTTTTTCCTTATCCAGGATTCATTTAATTTTAAAAACAAATACAAGCTATCAATTCACTCTTCTCAACTCAACTGGACAGTCCACCTGTGGTATAACTGTCAGGTAAAAACATACATCTTTACAACTTGGTGGTCCCAAGTTTTTTAAAAAAACCATTTCACAGAAAGGAAAGAAATATGAAAACAGATCAAGAAATAGACTAACAAGCAAAAATATATGGGGGAAAGAGGAACACATAGTTTTGACTTAACTGAAGAAACTGAGAGGAGACTGGTCTACATAGGAAAATGTGCATCCTGGAAAGTCAGGTGGGAAAATTTTAGGATAGGAATTTATGACTTGAATCTCCCCCATTTCCTGAATAAAAACGACATCTTGTGGTATTTATACTTCATGGCTCAGACACCTACCTCACTTGGCTCTACTCCTTCCTTACTTTAGCCTTTACTTAAAGGAGTCTGAAAAACTTGGGGATATAGCCTAAGAAGAAAAATAACCACACATAATATTCCCCTTTCTGTGGCTACTTGAGACCTTTGTTACTAGAAAATTCCTAAGGAAAATTTAAATATTAAGACTGTGGCTTTACTGAATCAAGTCCCCCAGTTAATATTTAGAAAACACCCTCTGTTTGGGCTAATAACATTGTTGATGGTACCTATCATAGAGGGAGAGCCAAACAAAGTCTGTGTCTCAAAACCAGTGTTAAATCAATCTCAGGGTTGAGAGGGAAAAAAAAGGTGAGTCTAAAATCACAAGAAATGCAGACCTATCTAGGACCCTTGTCCTTCTGGATCCACGCTTCCTTCAGGATCTTCATCATTATAAACGTTCTCTGCCATTTGCCACACTTGCATGATATTGTCTTCTGATACAGAACAAATCACCCAAGGTTCATTGGGATTCCAGGAGAAATCAGGTATCTTGGCAGCGTGACCATCATGAATAAACAACAATTCTGGTGGCCCATCTTCTGCATCTTCTGGGGATTGTTCCTCTCCAATTTTACTTAAATCCCAGACATTCAGTCTGCGATCAGTACCACTGGAAGCCAAAATAGTCTCATTGTGAGGCGACCACTGAACCTGGAATATTTTATCCTTATGTGATTCAAAGGAATGCAACTTAAGTTTCAGATTTCTCAGATCCCACAAGGCAACAGTCTTGTCGGCTGATCCTGTGGCCAGAATGAACTCGCTATAAGGATTGAAAGATAGGCAGTTCACTTCAGCAGTGTGAGCATCAACTGAGTGGCTTGGTTTGGAAATACTGTTTGAACGAGTATCCCAGATCATAAGTTTCTGATCATCAGCAACTGACCCAAACAGAGACTCATGGAGCAAATGCCAGGAAACATCTTCTACTACCGCTGTATGTCCTGTAAAGATGGTCTTCGCATCCACCACTTTTCCTTCCTTTGGAACAGCACTGATGTCCCAGAGGCAGATGGTCTTAAATGTAAAATTAACTATTATATAAATGGAAGATTCTCACTTCCCCACATACCTCAGAAAAGAAACCAACTGATAACCAGCCCAGATTTGCATCAAAATGAGAAGGATACATACATGGTCGTCTGAAGCACTAAGTAAGTGCCCACTGAGATTTGGGTTCCAAGAAAGTCCATAGCCTTCCTTCTGATGTCCACGCAGACGCAAGTCTGGGTTGCACTCTCCAGAAGGGTCTGGTTTGGAAGGATGTTTTGTATAGTCAAAAACAAGAACATCACTGGATGGAGTCTTTGTTGCAATGATGCAAGGGTTCTGGGGCATATAACGTGCTCGGTTTACTTCTCCTTCATGCTTGATCTTGATTTCTATTTCAATTTTTCCACTAACTGAGCCAAAACCTCCAAATTCTCCTTTCTCACTGTCGTAGTGTGAGGCATCAAACGGAGCATCGTCGTTAGGGAGCTGCACACTGGCTATCACAAGATGGTTTTGTTCATCTGACGTGTGTGTTCCCAGGACAAGTCGATGAATGCTGAAGTCTTTCCCTTCCAGTCTGGTTACATCTGGAAGCCACTGTGCAGTTAGGCCAGGCCACTCCAGAGCATGGGTCATCACCAAATCATAAAGAAAAGGGGTGTTCTTTTTCCATATTTTGTACTCTCCGTTGATCACACGTTCTTCTACTGCGTCATCAAAGGCTGTTTCCTTGTCGGCCATGGCGGGCAGGCCTACTTGGTTATTTCTTGAGAAAAATTAGAAAATGAAAAAAAGAAATTTTCCCCCTATACTTAGTGGGGCACAATTTTTTAAATTGCACAGTGACGTCAGAAACATGAACTGGTAAGTATCATGTTGATATTGGCTTAAATGTTGTTACTGGCAGAATCATTAACTGCTCGGGAGATGGCTCAGGTCGCTACTCATCTAGCACAGGAGGGAGCTCACATTCTGATGTTCAGTGCAGACTGCCATCCCAACCTGACTGCAGAAGGTCATCTGCTCAATGGCCAAGGAAGGCATGGTTAACGCGAAACTTATAAACCAAGCTACATACTCCATCTCAGGCAAAATGAAGAAAAATTTTTTAAAAATAATGATCTCTTAAGTTTGAAAATGCCTATTTTAATTGAAGGAGGAGGCTGTAGCATAATTTCTTATAGCAACTTTATCTAGTTATAAAACTCATGTAGGATGTACAGCCTAGCTTCTCATTTCCTCTTCTTAAATAAAATATTTAATTCAAACAATTACCTTGCTTTATTTTTTTTTTTCAGGAGACACAGTCAATTGGTTATACCTTTATTAGCTAGATCTTATACTATGTTCCAACTGAGGGTTCAAAGATCCCCCTGAAACTGAATGGGAAGAAATCAGAGAGGGGGACAAACCATGACAGACTCTTGACTCTGGGAAACAAACTGAGGGTTGTGGAAGGGAGGTGGGTGGGGGGATGGGGTAACTGGGTGATGGGCATTAAAGAGGGCACGTGATGTGGTGACCACTGGGTGTTGTATGCAACTGATGAATTATTGAACACTACATCAAAAACGATGTACTATTATGTTGGCTAATTGAAAAAACAAAACAAAGATCTTCCTGAAACTGTGAATTGTGCACAGAACCTGGCATATATGCGAGTCTACACATTTTTCTGGGAAGAGAATCTAGAACCCTCAGATTCTTAAAGCAGTTTACATTCAAAACAGACTAAGAATCACTGTCTTTTATCTGCCTTCCACTATGATTCCACTACAGTGTATAGTAAAAATATAGGGCATAAATTAGGGGTTGACAGGTTTTCTCTTCTCTTAAGGATATGTTTTCTTTCGTAGGACCATAATCTGGAAAGAGCCTCAAAAGCTAACAAGTTCATCCACCTGACTTTAGGCGAAATACCTCCAAAATTACCCAAGTCAGATGAAAACTGAAAGTCTGTTTATTTCTCCCTATGGGAAAGCAATTCCAGCACCTCATTCTGTAACCTATTACATTTTTTAACAACCACTATAAAATTTATCTTTGGTCTGTATGTGCTCTAGTTTAGGTCCTAAATTGCCTTATTACTATTTTTCCTCACTTTATACACAGCTATAAATGTGTGTTAATCTTTTCCAGGGAAGATCTATTGCAATGTTCTTGTCACAGGCCATTTTTAAAACCAGTGACTCTGGTGATCAATATTGCATACATACAACACAGCTCATGCAGGTTAGGCAGACGTCTGGCCATATACTAGAACATGAGTGTGATCAAGTTACTAGTAACAAGAGTTCAGAGTCTCAAAGAGCTGGGGAAAATCTCTCAGATGACCCAGTGCAGGAAGAAGAGGCTCTCCTGCTGCTTCTGTCGGTCAGAGGCATGAATGTGAGGCATCTGGTGGAGATCCGACCTAATCATGGGCCCAGAATGTGTGGCCACCTCAGCAACCCTCAGCCTTAGCCTGACCTGTGATTACGGCCCTGTTGCCCTCCCCAAGGGACACTGTGCACTCCAGCCCTCCCATATACACTGGCCACCCGACTCCCCCTACGCGTCTGCCTTTTGCATAGCTTTGTTTCCTGTGGTCCTCTCTCTATGAATACTGGGCACCTCAGCCCTCCCACCTCCAGTGGCTTTCCTGGGGACAGTGAACCCCTTCTGGACCAGGCACCCCAGCAAACTTGTCCACTGTCCCGTGGGTTGCCTTCCCCAATAAGGTCTGACCCACAGCCTCAGCGCAAGGGTGCCCCCGATCAAGTCTGTCCTTCCTTGAGTACTCTCTCTAAGGTACTTAAAGTACCTTATTGAGTTCTTTGTAAATCTTATGGTTACTCTTTTTTCAAGGCTAATGATGTTTTACATTAAAATTCTCCTATTTAAATCACTGTGTGGTTTCTCCCTTCTGATTGGACCCAGACTGAAATAATCACAATGAAAACTTATTCTTTGATTACTGTCATGGATTGTATTTGCTAACAGTGCATCTTCTAATCTTATTTTTCCTTCTAGTTTAACTGTACTGTGGTTAAAGAATGTGGACTATACAAGTCCAACTTACTGGAATTTTTTGATGTCCTTTTAACATAACGCATGGCCCACTTTTTTTTTTTTTTTAGACTTTTTATTTATTTATTTGACAGAGAGAGACAGCAAGAGAGGGAAACACAAGCAGGGGGAGTGCGAGAGGGAGAAGCAGGCTCTCCACTGAGCAGGGAGCCTGATGCGGGGCTCGATCCCAGGACCCCGGTATCATGATCTAAGCCAAAGGCAGACGCTTAATGACTGAGCCACCCAGGCACCCCGCATGGCCCACTTTTTAAAGATGTTTCTGAAAACTGAAAAATTAGTTTCTGTTTTCAGGGTACAATCTTATTAAAATATTTATACCCTTTATATAGGGGTCGGCAAACTTTTTCTGTGAAGAGCCAGATAGTAAATACTATAGACTTGTGAGCTATAAGGTCTGTGTTGTAACTCCTCAACTCTTATCAAGGAACAAAAGCAGCCATAGACAATATGTAAACAAATGGTCTGTGTGGCTGTATTCAATTTATTTACAAAAATAGGCAGTGCGGGGGTAGGGGGCACCTGGGTGGCTCAGTTGCTTGAGCATCGACTCTTGACTTCAGCTCAGGTCATGATCTCAGGGTCCTGGGATCAGCCCTGCGACAGGCTCTGTGCTCAGTGGAGAGTCTGCTGGAGATTTTCTCTCTCCCTCTCTCCCTCTGCCCCTTGGAGCGTACACTCTCTCCCTCCCAAATAATCTTCTAAAAAATAATAAAATAAAAAAATAAAAAACTTTACAAATAGGCAGTGGGCTAGAGTTAGCCCACAGGCCATAGTTTATCAACCCCTGCTCTACATCATTATTTTTATCTACTTGGTCTATAAAGAAATGAGAAAGAGGAGTTAAATCTCTCAATACTGCTGTGTTTTTTGGATTTCCTCCTGTGTGTTTTTGGTCCTTTGTTTATATAGTTCTATGCTCTAAAATTCGACATAAAAAGGTTCATAGTTATTATGTTCTCCTGTGAATTTTATTCCTTATCATTGCAGAATTTCCTTTGTTCTGTTAAAAGTTTTTTTGGTACATTAAACCTTACATTTAATATTAAAAAATATTTAGAAAGAAAATATAAAATAAGAATAAAATTAAGATCAAAGAGAAGTTTAACAATAAATCCAATTGGAATAAATTTACCTATTAAAAGAAAGCAAATCTAAGTACGTGGCAAATACCAAAACCTGGTCTATAAGATAGATGTGAAAAAGAGTGTCCCGGAAGTTTTACCTATAATGGATTCTGCATCTGTCTTTCCTTTTTATTTTATTTTATTTTATTTGAGAGAGTGTGTGTGGGGGGAGGAGCAGAGGGGGAGGGAGAGGGACAAGCAGACTCTGTGCTGAGCACAGAGCCCGACAGTGGGGCTTGATCCCAGGACCCCGAGATCATGACCTGAGCTGAAACCAAGAGTCAGACGCTCAACTGACTGAGCCACCCAGGCACCTCTGCATCTGTCCTTCTTAAGACAGTCTTTATCTGTCTTTTTAAATCTTTCTCTATAAATATAACTATTATCCAATATATCACATATTGCATCAATTTATATATATGCATATAGATTTTTTAATTTGATATCATTTTGAGTCTCTTATATAAGAGAGTCTAGTTTGTGTCAGTCTCTCCTCTGTTCACTGGAACCTCATCTGTTTCCTGCCCTTGGCCTAAGAGACAGCTGGCTATGTGGGTTCAGCCCCCACACTCTGAGCTAGAGCAGCTAGGGTTCTGTTTTCCACATAGCTTCATGCAATAGATTTTCTATACCAAATATCCTTCCACTTTGGGGTTTGGGGATGTTCCCTGGGGTTGGGGGATGTTCCCTTACTTCATTGTGAGCCCACTGCCACTTTTTTTTGTGACTGCTCTACTTCGCATATGCCATTATTTAATGTAACCCAGAGTTGATGGATTTTCCCCTCTTTTTCACCCCATTGAACCAAACCTTTATTTGCTAAATATAATTAAGTCTAAGGAATTATTCATCCAAACTGCATCTGCCTTTCCTTGAAAGCCACAAAGCAGAAAAAGACAAATCCTAGCAGCTTTGAGAGAACTGGTCTGTCTCTGCGAGGAACCAGACCTAAGTTCCCGGGGGTTACAGGAATCCCCAGTCCTTGGATCCCCAAATCTGGAGAGGTTTTCAGGAGTCTTCATGGAATTTCATCAACCCACCCTCTGGCTGGCTGCTCTGTAGGAATCATGTGTCAAGCACTGGGTCCCCTTCAAGTTTGGGTATAATTGTTTAGTTGGTCCAAACTCCAAGTTTCTGCAGGGCTCTTTCCATCTATTCGGTAGTCTTGTGTCATCTTGTCTTCAGTTAATTTTACTTATTTCCTTCTATCTCTGTGGAGATTTAGGGGAGTATGCTCTAGATCTGTGTGCCTGCTTCTGCATTCCTCGGGAGTCCTGCATGCCAAGTACAACTCTAAAACATCTTTTTGAGAGAGAACTGGCCTCCATAACCATTTCTTCTTCCTTCTTGGCATTCATTTCTCAAATTTCCTACCTCCCATTAAGACGGCTTTGAGATTCTGCCTTAAATACCTATTGAAATGAATAAGCCATCTAGTTTTAAAATGAAGGAGAAATTTAGTGTTTCTAGGCCAAATAATCTTCTGACATTTCTCTTGGTTCCAGCTTTGAAAAGAAGTAAAATGGCATAGAAATTCAAGGCATCACAAAATTCAAGTAAAATCACTTTCACCTCAGCAGTGTTCTGAAAGACACACCACCAGGTGAGCTCTTACCAGTGGAATGAGCAGGCTAATGAGGTCTGTCAGAGGTTTGCTGAGCAGCAGCAGATCCTCGGCGGCTTGAGTGTCCCCTCCTGAGCCAGACTTCTGTGCCTTGAGAGAGGACGAGACAAGGGGCGGGGGGTTGCTGGTGATTAGTCAGTTTGGCCAGAGGAGACAGATCCACTCAGTCCAGGAGAGGAAGGGGGCTGAGGAAGCAATCCCCCGTGGCCCCCTGAGGAGAGGTCACACCTTGTTATAACAGGACAAGGGGCGCAAACAATGCCACTGCCTCCAGCTCAGGCTACAGAGGCCCACCCGGACGGCCCACGGATAAAGCAAGACCAAGGGTATCCTTGAAAGAATGATGTTGATGTTCACGTACTGCGGGGGGGCGGGGGGGACTCTCTCTCTTTCCAACCATGCTGACATGGGGTGCTGCTACCCCCATCTTTCGGGTGAGAAAACTGAAGTTCGGAGAAGTAGTTTGTCGAAAGCCCCACAGACAATGAGTGCCAAAGCCGGACCCCAAATCACAGATGCTCATTTCTTGCGGGCATTTTTATGCACATTATCTGAGGCTACCATCATTGTATAATTCTGCTCTGCTTTCCTTCTCTGTATGCATGAGCGTGCTTGAATACCGTCTAGAAGGTTGGTCCAACATACCAGCACACGGACAGGCCTCAGACACAGGTCTCCGTTGCCGAGACAGGACAGGCTTAAGTTGCATTGGAAAAAGAAAATGAGAAGCAAGTGGTTCTACTCTTAAGTGTGTCCACTCTAAGGAGTTTTATGGGACTGTCTAATCTCTACTATAAGGGATGAATAATTTTATATTGAAAAAAGGCACTGACTAGTGTGTTTGCTACAGTATATACACATTTCATTCACACACTTCTTCACTGTTTTTAATTTCACTCAGAAGAAACCAAACCTCTTGTACGGACTGACCTCTGCCAGAGCCTTCAGAGCCGGCTGCAGACTGCCTGTCTCAGGTTATTAGCCTGGACTCTAGGACCCTTCTCATGAAGGCCCTGTTCCTTCTGGACAGAACTTGAGCTGCCTGCTTTCTCTGGCTCAGAGGGACTTGCACCTCTCGATAGCCAAGGGGAACCCATAATCGTAGCATGGAGCTTCCCTCTCCCCTCCCCACCCCCACCTCCAATCTTCCCAACTGATTTTACCAGAAAGGTAGAATTTCCTCCAGAAAACAAATGTGCGGCACTACCCCAGAGGTCTGAACCCTTCAAACTCTTGGCTGTTGATTCCAGCTTCAGAAGCACAGTGCAAGATAGGAGCACTGGGTGTTATGCACAAACAATGAATCATGGAACACTACATCAAAAACTAATGATGTGATGTATGGTGATTAACATAACATAATAAAAAAAGAATATTGGCCTTTTCACATGAACACATTATCCTTTAGAGCAAATGGATTCTCTCTTGGGGAAGATAAGGCAGTCTTGCAAACCAGCACCTGGACCGAGAGGGGGGCATGATATGATATCAGTGCTTCCTTACCAAACCCACGGAGGCAAGCAGATGGGGCCACAAAAGCAAGTGCACACTGTAGGACTCTTCCACCAGGACATCCAGTGTCCTCCATAGCCTCTAAATCCACATAGCCATGTGTTATTGTTACCAAGAAACATCCAGACCCTCCCCACCAGTATTCAGGTACCACCTCCTTGCAAAGCTCCCAAGGGTTCCAGAAAGAGAATGCTGCCTCTCTGCACAACCAAGAACTTCACATCTGGAATGCAAAAGAAACTCCTCTCCTTACAAAAATATGGGACTGCAGTGGAAGCTCTGTGCACAGAGGGATCCCAGCAGGGTTTCCCATAGGAAGAAAAACAGAAGCTGAGCAACAATTTCTGGGGCCCAAGTTCACCTCTTCTCTCAGTCTATCTCCAGGTCCCTAATGTCACCACTCCCTAAGGCAGCCCTTGATACCCACATCCATGGCCCACTGTCTGCATTTCTTAAAGCGCCCCTTCTGCAGCAAGGATTCTCTTTTCTGCTACGACACTGCTATTGTCCTCTCCATTCAGGCCCTCTGCCCTTGCCTCTGGTCTACAATTCACTTTCCCCCATCACGGCCGTATGGTAACTGACCCCACTCCCAGCCATCCAGTGTTCTTGACCCATTCAGTTATGGTCTAAGCAGGAGAAGATGGTAGACTGCACCAGGGAGGCAGCAGTAGGGTTTGAGAGAAGTGGTTGGACTTACTAGATATTTAAGGTAAAATCTACATTATTGGAGGACAGATTAGATATGGAGTATGAAAAAAAGAAAAATTTTAAGGATGACTCCTGGGTTTCTAGTATATATAGCAAGAGGAAAGTGACCAGCCTTGCTGGGGAGGCAAATCCCAAGTTGAGCTTTGGACATGTTGAACTTGAGGTGACAATAGGGGTGGTTCTAGTGATTATTTGGAGAAAGCTGTTGGATCTCTAAGGGTGGATTTCCTGGGAGGACTCTGGGTAGAAATATAAACTTAATAGTCTTAAACATATAAAACATGGGAATGTCAACTTATGAGCCATCTTTAATATTAAATGGCAACAGAGCATTACTCAAAATGAGATAAAGGAGTACAGTGTTAAAAAAATGAAAATAAACAAAAGGCCAGGCAAATAGAGTTCTATTCTATCTAGCACTGCTACATGAATCTAGTGCATGCAGGTAGGTACTCAAGAGAGGTTTGTTAAATAAATACAGAGGTGGGGCGCCTGGGTGGCTCAGTTGGTTAAGCATCTGCCTTCAGCTCAGGTCACCATCTCAGAGCCCTGGAATAGAGCCCCAGGTCAGGTTCCCCACTCAGTGGGGAGTGTGCTTCTCCCTCTGCTTCTCCCCCCACAACTAATGCTCTCTCTCTCTCAAATTAATAAATAAAATATTTTTTAAAAATTGAAAAAAAAATAAACATGGAGGGAAGGCAGCCGTGGAGAACAAGAGCAGTCAATTCTGCAGGTAGCTACTGTCTGATGTCCCCACAATGGAGCACAACCCGCAACGGTGGCACCCGGACCAGTTCAGCACTCCCTGTGCTCCCCAGTCACCACCATGTGAGTTCTCACAATGCGCAGATGACATGATTCAGTCCCCACTCTGTAGGCTCGCACCACCTGTTCCATAGGATAGCGTGCTTACACACAACCGTGCTAAAGGTAGAGTGTGAAAGTAGAGGTGGACACAGTTTGGTGGTGGGGGGAAGTAAGAGAAGACGACATGTGACTTCGTCATTTCCATGGTGGGAAGGAGGCCTACAGGGAAGAGGGTGGAGAACAGTGTTGCAGGGGCTGGGAACCACAGGAGGAAAAGGCATGGCAGTGAAAGACCGAGAGCCGACTGTTTGCCAGTCGGGAGTGGGCAGCACGGAGGCCTGGCACATCAGGCGGGAAGGCACCCTGGGGCTGGATCATACCGGGCCTTGAATGTCTCACCAACGAGTAGAAGATCCCATCACAGACAACGAGATGTCACTGACGTTTGCCACAGAAGGGAGAGGCATGGGGAAGATTACGAGCGAAAAACAAGGCAGAAAAATCTCCCTTGCATTTGGCGGCCAGGCAGAGGGTAGCCGATGGGCATGAGCAAGGGGAACACCACAGAGGAGTCAAACTGGATCATTTCAACAGACTTGTGTCCACATTCCAGTCTTTCAGCAACACCAGCATGTTTGCAGAGAAACAGCAGTTTAACGGTCCCACGATCACAAGAGCAGTGGATGAAGGTCCCCCATCACTTCACAAACGATAGTCAAGGCCCAGACGGGGGGGAGGGGAGGGTCAGGGGACCTGGATTTAAATATTGAAGTGGGCTTCCCGACCCCCCAAACTCAGTTAGGTTCTCTTCGCCCACGTTCACCCTGCAGCACCCCGTACCTCACAGCAGCTGCGTGCTCACAGATGTAATGGGATGATGATTTCCTTGCCATTTGTGTAGCGACGGTCTTCCTTCTGAAACTGCGAGCTCCCCGAGCGCTAACACCCTTCCCTCTCTAGATCCCTGCCGAAATCTCAGTACCCAGCCGTGTTCCAGGCTAATAAGTACAGAAATAAACCGTAAATTAATTATTTCATAAGCCTGCCAGGAGTCAGTTCAGTCAGGAGCCATGGCCTGAGCAGCCTCCCACGCGCCAGGACACGGACCTGAGGAAGTCATGGTCCACAGGAAGCCTTCTGTACACAGGAATGTAAGGGGAGCACTTCTCTTCTTCTCACTGTTAATGATACAGCGACCATTTAGTGCTGACCTTCCCTGGGCCATACACACACACACACACACACACACACACACACAGGCACTACCTATTTACATCTACTCACATGTATCTTCTTCTCTCATTTAAGTCATACAATGACCCAGCAGAGCAGTTTTTATCATTTCTACTCTGCATATGAGGAAACCAGTATTAGGCAGGTGAAGAAGCTTGCCCAAGGTCATACAGGTGGAAAGTGGTGTGGCTGGGATTTGCATCCAAAGCCCATCCCACACGAGTGAGTCTGGAGCATGTACTTGTCTTTGCTTCCACATCTCTCCCACACAACCCTCAGGTTAAACCAGGACTGATTTTGCATCACAAGGCATGTTAGGGGCAGGGACTGAACTCCTGCTTCTAACACCCACCTTCCCACGGTCCCCGCCTCCCTAGCACACATTCTTACATGATATCACTCTCCTCCCTGAAAAAGAAAAGCAAAGCACTTATCATTTAAACACTGGCAACCCTCAATTCTGCTGCTTGACAGTCATTCCTGTTAAAAGTAGATCAGGTCTTGAATGCAGAAGAATCCCCGGGGTGGAGCATGTTTATATATTTTCTTTTTACTTTATTTTTTTAAGATTTTGTTTTTTCAATTTTAATTTTTTTATTTTTTAAAAGATTTTTTAATTTATTTATTTGAGAGAGAGCAAGCACCCAGAGGGAGAAGGGGATGGAGAAGCAGACTCTCCGCTGAGCAGAGAACCTGAAGTGGGGCTCGATCCCAGGATCCCGAGATCACGACCGCAGCTGAAGGCAGATGCTTAACTGACTGAGCCATCCAGATGTCCCAAGATTTTATTTATTTATTTGAGAGAAAGCGAGAGAGAAAGAGCATGAGCAGGGTGAGGGGCAGAGGGAGAAACAGACTCTTTGATGAGCAGGGAGCCCTATGCGGGGCTCGATCCCGGGACTCCAGGATCATGACCTGAGCCGAAGGCAGACATTCAACCAACTGAGCCACCCAGGTGCCCCTGGAGCATGTTTATAAATGGAAGAGGTGACCTTAGGTTTGGAAAGTACTTCTAGCTCCCTGTTCTAGGAGGATGTGTCTTTGATACACATGCAATTTCTTTTCCCAGCCCTTTCCCCTAATTCTGTCTCCAAGGACTCTACCTCTTTCAGATTGACACGGTATATGAAGATCAAAGTCGGCAGTCAAGGCCAAAAGCAATATGTGGCAGGTATTACAGGGGAAGATTTAGAAAGATGTTAGCAGTAAAATATACAGTGGTGTGGAAGAAATGAAAAAGTGAGACACAGTGATCTATCAGTACACTAGAACATTAAAAAAAAAAGAATTAGAAAACATTTTGTATTAAGGAGTTTTCTTTTAAAATCCTTGAATATCTCTCTAAATCACTTGTAATAAAAGGATTTCTATTGTTCTGGAATTTTTAAATTTCTGATCCTTTTTATCTACAATCTACAAAACATAATCTTTTACAGATTGATATCATCAAAGCATCTTGCAAGAGTACCTATCGATGGCGCCTTGAAGAATTACCTAAAACCCCTGTCAAAACTGAAATAAGAAACAACATTCTCTGAAAAAAAACACCAGGAAAGAGAGGAAAAGTGAAGAGAAATTTGTAACTCAGGATTGCATAAGTACTTAACAGTGCTCTGTTAGCTTGCAGTTCTTATAGATGAGCAAATAAAAACAACCAGGTAGTTTGAAGGCCACTTCTATCTACCGGCTTTACAAGTTTGGGTTAAACACTAACTATCATGTTTACTAGGGGATCTTGGAATCATTTATTAAACCACACTGGACAAGCTAAACACTGACCAGCTCAATTGGGGATAAAAGATACCATTTATCAGAATGAAGAATAACAGAGAATAAACCAGAGTCTAGGGAATCATTCTTGGCTCAGCTACTATGACTCCTGGCAAAGTATCAAACAGCTTGGTTTCAACTTGAGCTTCTGCATCTCTCCAAGCCAGGATGCTACCATTTGATGTATATACCTCTTGCAATTTTACCAGGATTTTAAATATAAAATGAGTTCATCTTGGCTGTATGCTTTCACATAATCTAAGTATCAGCAGACTCAGTTGGTTAAATGAAATAGGCATGTGTGGGCACCTAACACCCAACACAGAAAGCACTCAATAAACCCACATCCCCTTCCTTCCTTACAGCATGATGCAAAGTAAATTCAGGTTATAGTTTGGGATGAATTGACTTTCCCAGTAGACACTGAACACACTTCTAGTCCTCAAAAACTGTCCTGGAATTCCATGTTTCTATCATAATAGAAAATGAGAAAATTTATGTGTTGTACATGTATGTGTAAGTGTGTATAAACCTGTGTTTGTGTGTGTGTTTGTGTGTGTGTGTGTGTGTGTGTGTGTTTGCCTAAAATCTCAATCCATTGTCCGTAGCAAGTTAATTCATCCTGTTGAGGGTGGGCTGGAGCGCCATCCCCAGACAGGAAAGATGGTACACTGCAGGGCCGGCCCTAGGGTGCGTGTAAGGCAAACGATCTCCTCCATCAGTAGACTTCCCCGACTAGCTCTTGGCAAGTGTTTCCTTAGGCCTCCCTTGCTTTCCTTTCAGATTGTGTGATCACAGAATGTGTCCTTGACAGTGGTCACCCCAAGATGGCTTATCTCATAGTCTATAGAATCATATGTTCTTCCTCAAAAATAAAGACATATTAGAGAAAGATCGGGAAGGAGAGAACAAAAGGGAAGGGTGACGTGGTGTAGGGTTAAGACACGGGAGGAGAGGCCCTGTACCTGCAAAGCCAGTCGAACGACACTGGACGTGTAGGTCAGCATGCCATGCAGAATATCGAGCAGGGAGAAGAGCAGTGCAGCAGCCATCTTGTTGTTGTTCTTATTGTCCACGTCCAAGCACAGTGTGGCAGTTTCAGTGAAGAGGTCACAGACATGGCGGACCAGACCTGAGCGTAAAAAGGAGAGGGGTAGAACATGCCTTGTAAATTACAAAATAATGTGCCATATAAACCCAACGGAGCAGGCATGTGTATTCTATGCTGCATAAACTTGAAGCAGGCTTTCAACTGTACTCGTACAGGATACCCTCAGGCAGTTTTTAAAAATGCAAGTTTCCAGGCCTCACTCCCAGAGTCTGCTCAGGAGCCTGGGACGTGTTACATAAGCTCCCCAGGTGACTTGATGCAAGGGTTCCCCAAATTACACTTTGAGAAACACAATCCTACATGAACAGGCTTCACAAAGACAGAGGGCTCCCTGACACTGGAAGAAAACATGTTACATATGAACATACTGTCTCCAGGTTCTCTGAGGTTCAGTTCTTCACAGTATGGATCAGGCTCTACAGGTGGACCCAGGGGACCCAAGGACCTACAAGTAATCAGGTCATTCCAAGAGGATAAAGCAATGAAGCATTTTTCTCCCACATGTATTCCAAAAAAAAAAAAAAATTTGAAATGTAAGATCAATTATGATTTTAAGAAATCTGAAATTTAGACATTTCTAACTTCTATCATTTTGTCTCTGCAAACCTCGTATTAAATTAACAGTGAAGTTGGTCTTCAACTTTTAGTTTGATGTAGTCTGTCACAAATAACACATTTGCAAAAGTAGGGGCATTATTATTTATATTTAAGTTGGCATTTTTATTGATACTATTATGTAGCATCATTCTTTGAATTCACAAAAATGATTCAGATGTAAATATGGTGAAAATACAACACGCAGTGTTAGAAACCTAAAGTGGTGAAGGACCTTTGGCATCAGTAGATCACCTGAACGCTCTAGAAAAACTGAATCTTCAGAAATAAGTATTTTACACAGGAGATGGTAGGAGGAAGCATGGTAAGGAGCTGTACACTAAGCTAGACTTTATTGGTCTTGCAATCCATCTGGCCCTAGTTTTCAGATGATCAATTGGATAGAAACTCTGCCAAGCACAGCCATCCAAGCTTTGGTATCTCTCCCAAACAATGCCATTGTCACTTCCAGTAAAGCAACCAAGTTCTCCTAGACAAGTGCAGAATAATTCTTAGACTTCAAAAGTAATTAATTTTGTCACTAAAGGCAGGGAGAAACCAAAATTATAGAGGTCTCAAAGTTGTACTCCTTGTGGCAAAGAGTGGTACAAGTCACAAAGCTGAAGATAAATATACTTGAAGAGAAGGTAGAATTAACTGTTGGCAAAATGGATCTATGACAAGGTTGGATCACACATATCATGAACAACACACAGTATAGAAAAGCAATTATTATGACATGTACATGACACCAGAAGGCATTCTCCTCTGAGTGAGGCAGCTCATTCGCACGCCATGAATCAGCACTTTGGCATTCATGAGTTGCAGATAGGGCAGAAGGGCTTTAAAACATAGTGTTTGGTAAATACATGCTACAAGAGGTTTTCCTTTGGGGGTTTAGGATTACTTTGTGACACATCACGTAAAGGGTCAAAGGTGCAGTAGGGTGAGAACTATGTGAACAGCAGAGAAGGGCGTGGCTCTTCACAGGGGGAGGCAGACCCCCAGATACCCCTCTCTACAAGCTGCTTGACTCAGACTAAACAGCTGGTGAGCAACAGCTAGCCATCTTCCCGATCTTCATTCAGTCTTCAAGGAAAGAGTGCAAACAATGAACACAATCAGATCCCGGCTGGGACGGGAGGTCTTTCCAGCCTGCTAGGTGAAAAAGCGGGCGACAAATGCCACGTTCTGACTTTACACACTGAAGTCACCAGCTGTCGGGAAGGTGCTCATAGGAGATTAGAAATGAAGCATCACACAAAATATTTCTCCAAAGCAGTGATAATGCCAGCAAGCTCATTAGTAGGATGTCAAGTGGTCTATTCTCAGCCATATATTCAGTGCTCTTCATGGCTAGAACTTACACTTCAGGGTCAAACTACACTTTTTTCTCATTTAAACTTTTTATTACGAAAACAAAGCAAGCCACAAGACAGTTCTGTAAAAAGAACTCCCATCACATTCTTCAATAGTTATCAACACTTTTGACCATCTTTGGTTAATCTATCCCCATGTTATTTTTTAGGATTTTAAAGTAAACACCAGACATCATCTTATTTCTCCTGTAAATACTTCTGTAGAGTCTAACAGATAAAGATTCTTTTTTTTTTAAACATTACCACTTAATAAAATGAAATTTATTTAATATAGGCAATACGCAGCCTATGTTTAAAACTCAACTGTCTCAAACTGTCTTTTTAAGGATTAATTTGTTGAAATCGGGATACAAACCAGGTCCACACATTCCATTTGGTTGCAGACCTTACATCTCCTTTAATGTCTAACAGTCTTTCCCCCGCCTGCAATTTTCATGCCATTTTTTTTTGGAGAAGTTAGAACGTTGTTTTCCTATAGGTTTTTTTTTTTTAAAGATTTTATTTATTTATTTGACAGAGACACAGTGAGAGAGGGAACACAAGCAGGGGGAGTGGGAGAGGGAGAAGCAGGCTTCCCGCGGAGCAGGGAGCCCGATGTGGGGCTCGATCCCAGGACCCTGGGATCATGACCCAAGCCGAAGGCAGACACTTAATGACTGAGCCACCCAGGTGTCCCTCCTGTAGATTTTCTTGTGGTGTTGTTCCTGTATCCCTGTACTTCCTGCAAAATGGTAATTGTAGCGACTAGAGACTCTATTTAATTCAGGTTCAATTATTTTGGCAATAATACTTGGGGCTGGGTCTCTACATGTCCTGTTGCATCATATCTGGAAGGATACACTGTCTCGCCGTTCTACACTTAACAATGTTAAAATTGATCAGGTTCAGAGATTATTAGCCTAACCCATTCATTATAAAGTTCAACATCAAATGTTACCTACTAAGGACCACCATCTAGTCCCACATTTCATTAGATAAGGGCAATACATTAAGTTTCAAATTCTATCATTCCTTCCGTATTTTTTTCAGCTGGTTTTCTTCTATAAATAATCTTCTTGGGGCGCCTCAGTGGCTCAGTCAGTTAAGCATTTGCCTTTGGCTCAGGTCATGATCCCGGGGTCCTAGGATGAGCCCCACATAGGGCTCCCTGATCAGTGGGGAGCCTGCTTCTCCCTCTGCCCTGCCCCTTGCTCCGGCTCTCTGTCTCTCACTCACTGTCTCTCAAAGGAAGGAAGGAAGGAGAAGGAAGAGAGAAAGAGAGGAAGAGAGAGAAGAAAGAAAGAAAGAAAGAAAGAAAGAAAGAAAGAAAGAAAGAAAGAAAGAGAAAAAGAAAAAGAAAAAGAAAGGAAGAAAGAAAGAGAGAGAGAGAAAGAATCTTCTTTTATCAACTATTTGGTTATCATAAAATATGGTTTGTAAAGGAAAGGCAGGATATGTGTTTGATAAATATTTCTTTGTTGTCATTTACCAGTTTTCAGAACAATGATTTTGGAGTATTAGCAATTACCAAATATGACTAATGGGGGAGAGGGTGGGGAAGCTAGAAACTACCAAAAGTTACTAATGAATTCATTTTGTGGCATCATTCTGAATACAGTGGATTTTTAAAGAAAACATTTTATGGATTTCAGTGGATTCAACCTCTTTTTTTTTTTTTAATATTCAACTTGTTTCCATCTTTGGCTACTGACAGCCCCTTGAAACTGTCCTGGCCACTGCTATATAATACGTCCCAAGTTCATCTTAAGAATTCCTGCCTCAAACATACTAAATAAAATGAATTTAAATAAAAAATTCCTGTCTCAGACTGGGCATTAGCTACTTCCCCAAGAAGCCCTGGTGTCTTTTAAGAAGAAACTGTATTTGGAAACCATGATCTAAGCACTAAGGATGCTCATTGCTACTGGGTCATTGATTCAGTGGATAGAGATAACAAATATGCATCGAGAGAGAAAAATAATGACTTCATACCAATAATTCCAGTTTCAGAGTCCAGAAATGGACCCACACATATATAGTCACATAAATTGCAACAGATGAATTCTTTACAAAAAAAACCTCTTTTCAACAAAAGGAGGTGGAAAAACTGAGTATCCATGTGGAGAGAAGGATCCTTGACCACGACATCATATGATATGCAAAATTAGTTTCACATGAATCACAGATCTTCACATAAAAACTAAAACTGTAAAGGTTCTAGAATAAGATATAAAAGAAGATCTTTGTAACTAGGAGGCAGGCAAGATTTTTAAGGTCTCAAAAAGTATGGATCATTTAAAAATCGGTAAACTAAACTTCATCACAAAATTAAGTATTTACAGGGGCGCCTGGGTGGCTCAGTTGGTTAAGCGACTGCCTTCGGCTCAGGTCATGATCCTGGAGTGCCAGGATCGAGTCCCGCATCAGGCTCCCTGCTCAGCAGGGAATCTGCTTCTCCCTCTGCCCCTCCCCCATCTCATGCACGCTCTCTCTCTCTCTCTCTCTCATTCTCTCTCAATAAATAAAATCTTTAAAAAAAATTAAGTATTTACAACATAGATATCTAATAAAGAATTTACATGCAGAATACACAAACAGTTCCTACAACTCAATAACAAAAAGACAATTTTAAAGATGGGTAAAAAACTTAAACAGTCTGTTCACAAAAGATTTATGTCAATAAGCACATGAAAAATGTTCAACATCACTAGTCATGAGCAAAATGCAAATTAAAATCACAGTGAGATACGACCACACACAAACAGGAATAATTATAATGAAAAAAGCTGAGAACACCAAATATTGGTAAGGATGTGGAGAGACCAGTACTCATATACACTGCTGATGGGAAATAGTTGCAGTTTTTATAAATTTAAATATACAGTTAGTATATTACCTAGCAATTCCACTCCTAAGTATTTACCCAAGTAAAATGAAAACCTTCATCCACAGAAAGACTCATTAGACCTTTATTCAAAATAGCCCCAAGCTAGAGAGAGCCCAGCTGTCCATCAAGAGGAGAATGGGTGAACACATTAAGATATATTCATACAATGGAATACTAGTCAG